GAAACGAGCGCTGATTTCCAATAAGAGAACCTAACTGTTACGAAAGTTATGTTAGAGCAATCAACAATCCGTGACTGTTAGGCGTGAAAGGGAGGAAGTAAGGCATTGTTCACAGTTTTCGAATCATCCGAAAATTCGAATTCGCGAAAAGAATTTCACACGTATCGACCAGGAGAATTTCCACACGCGCGAACGCGGATGCGAAAAGGTTTAGATGCGTATCGACGTAGTAAACCACGCCCTATTAGCGTTGCTAGAGGATTTTCGCACCGCCGTTTCGATGCTGCGATCTCCGATTGACTGATCGATAGACACTAATTCCTTTCAAGAGGATTCGCAGATTCGAATGCGCGATTCGACGCTCCTCCCATTTTTGTGGATCAATACGCATTTGAATCTTTTCGCAGATCCGCAGATTCGTTCGTTTCGAGCGTTTTTCGGCTATGGCGCAAGGTGTGAACAGTGCCTTACGCCCCAGAACAGACGCCGCGCCGCCGCGTGACCCCCCCCCTCCCCTCTGAGGGGCCGTTTCTATCGCCGCCGCGACGCAGTTTCGAAATACAGTGGTCCCTAAGGGGCCGAAGCTTCCCCGAATAGGAGAGGGACCCCTCCCTGGGCCGTAAGGTATGCTTCCCCGAATGGTTGCGGGGACGAAAGTCCCTTTAAATTTTTTGTTTTGAACGATACTGTTTCTTTATTTTCAATGCATGTTTACTTTAAGCTACACACATATATTAAATGTAGGCCCTTTATCAGGACAATCCCAGTTGGGAGACAGAGAAAATTTAAAGGAATTTTCGTCCCCTAACCCTTCGGGGAAGCATACCTTACGGCCCCTGGTAAGGTATGCTCTCCCCGAACGCTCTCGGGGAAGGGCCACGCCCACCGGTTCTCGGGGATATCTCCCCGATTGACGTGCAATCGGGGGTTTACGGACTACTTGATTTTTCCTCAATGGTCCTGCCGCGATGGCTAGAGCACAGAGAATGCCCTAGGACTAAGCCTTGGAGAGGAGAGGGACCCGCTAGAGAGCGCAGAGGCGGTAAAGGGCTGAGTTCAAGTAGTCCGTCAACCTGCAATCAGGAGATATCCCTGTGATTGACATGCATTCCGGAAGACATCCCCGAGAACCGGTGGCAATGCCTTTCCCTCAGAGTTTTCGGGAGAGCATACCTTACCAGGGAGGGGTCCCTCTCCTGCTCGGGGAAGCATACCTTAGGCTGGTGTCAGAGTCCGCGATCCGTCGCAGGTTTCGCTGATTTTCGCGATTCACGCGACGGGTCACGGAAATCACAAGTGCCCGATCAATACTGCAAGGTGTTCTCCAATCCTGCCGCCACTTCTGCTTGATAGTGATGGCTGAATGACGACTGCTCATGATTCCACTTGTTTCATATTCAGTGTTTCAAATGTTCAAATGGGGCACTTGCGATTTTCGCAGGTTTCGCGCAAATCGCGTGAATCGCGCAAATCGCGAAAATCGCGCAAATCGCAGAATCGCGTGAATCGCGAAAATTAGCGAAACCTGCGACGGATAGCGAACTCTGAACCAGCTTTACGGCCCCATAACTAAGCCTTGGAGAGCACAGACGAACAGACCCGCGCCGCTGCGGTGCCCTCCTCAACTACGCTAGCACCGTATTTGATGATGTGATTCTCGGGATTAAGCTGCGTTTGAGCTTTTGAGTTATAGTATACATAAATAACAAGGATAAAGCATTTGCCGTTGATCAATGACCAATGATCGTTGATCATTTTTGGGATGCGGCACGCATTGTACATTCGTAGTGGCGTTTGAATGCGATGTGGCCTATACAATGACTTGCGGG